GGCTGTCCTTTAAATATTGTAATGAGTGAGATTAGCATTGTAAAAGAGTCTGAAGATGCAATGCACTGTGAGAGTGTGCATATATAACAAGAGCAAGAATGTTTGTGAGCAACAGAAACTTAGACTTTTCTAGACTGGCCCTGAGAGGTTAAACTCTACATGTCAGTTACAACATCACATAGATGGTAGTAAAACAAAGCCATTTTACACTATCAGAGAGCTTAGAGATAACAAGCTGGCCCTCATCAACAGATTTCTAAAATGAACAGGCATGATTACTTGTTCCCTCAACCTTTAGTTAAAGGATCACCGTTTCAAAGCCAAGTCACCTTCTCAACTCTGTTTTCGAGACTGCTATCATTTGAACTTCCATCTCAGCAGGCACTGGCAGCAAACTACAGTGCTTAAGAAAATTTTCAAATATATAAAAGCAGGTCCTTAATACTTCATTGTTTGCCATAAACCTTTCATGTAGTAGGCTGCAAAAGATAAGGCAACACGAAGGGCAAAGGGTCCTTTTGATATCCAACCTGTTATCAGTAGCAGGGGTGGTGCCCCTGAAAACAAACTTGAGCAACTTTGACTAGAGAGAGAATATGTGAGACCAACAACTCTGCAGACCCCAAGATCCATGAAGAAGAGGAAGGAGATGCTTCTAGCACCAGAACAGAGATTCTTCTGCAGCACATGGTGCAAACTAGTGAAGCAGCTGTGCCCCTGCAGCCCATGGAGGTCCATGGGGCAGCAGAGCAGGGCAGTCCCTGGAGTGGAGCAGTCCCTGGAGGACCCCAGCAGTGCCCAAAGGAGGCTGTCGCTCTGTGGAAACCCTCACTGGAGCAGGCTCTTGGCAGGACTTGTGGACCCATGGAGAGAGGAGCCCACAACAGAGCAGGCTTGCTGCAAAGGCTTGTGGCTCCACGGGACATCCCCACTGGAGCAGGGGATCCTGAGGTTCTGAAGGACTGTGCCCCACAGAAGGGACCCACTGGCACAGCTTGTGAAGAACAACAGCCATGGGAAGGACTCACACTGTAGAAGTTGGTGGAGAACTGCCTCCCATGGGTGGGACCCCACGCTGGAGCAGGGGAAGAATGTGAGGAGTCCTCTCCCTGAGATGAAGGAGCAGCACAGACAACATGCTATGAAGTGAATGCAGCCACCTTTCCTGCTGCGTCACAACAGGGAGAGAGGAAGTAGAGAATTTGTGAGTCTTGGAAGAAGGAAGAGGTGGGGGAAAAGTGTTATGATTTGCTTTTTATTTTTCATTATCCTACTCTGATTTGATTGGTAAGAAATTGAACTAATTTCCCCAAGTCAGTCTGTTATGCTCATGACAGCAACTGGTGAGTGATCTCCTCCTGTCCTGATCTCAACTGACAAACCTTTCGTTATATTTTCTCTCCCCTGTCCAAGGAAGGAGGGAGAGTGATAGAGATACTTTGGTGGGCAACTGGCATCCACCTATTATCATCACTTATCAGTGTTCCTTAAAGGAAGAATAATTTGTACATGAGCAAACAATTCTATAAAGATCTATTTTAAAGATACTGAGATACCATCTATCACGGATATAATTACCCATTTGTTATTACATTTAACATAATATTTAATCCCTTCATATAGAAACAGAAGTCAGATAGGCATGTATGCTTCAAAATTTTATTGGGACATAGTATAGAAGAAAAAAGGAAGAAATTAAAAAGTAGTCAGGAAACTGTTTTCTACCACATTTCTTCTTTTTATGACAGTATTTACAAATGCTAATATAGGTGAGCAATGGGAAGTTAAAAAAAAAAATCAAAACTGGAAAAGATCCCTGATTGAGGTGTTTGCCAAATATAAGATGCAATCTAAGTTCTACAAATGCCAAACATCATCTTCTGATTAATTTCTATTTGTATAATAAGAGAAATAAAACTAAGACAAGGAAAAGAAAATAAACCATATGTGATTACAGGAATAATAGCGAGCAGCACATTTTCAATGAAGTAATAATATTTTTTATTACTGGTAGTCTGGATGAAAAACTGAGGCAAGACAGCAAGGCTACTATGCTAATGTTTTTGCCAATGAAAACAAAACCATAATGGTGACTACCAATAATTTCGTTTAATCACTTGTCAGGCTTCATGGACTGTTACTCTAGCAATTGCAATAGAGACCCCATAAGCTAAGACTTTCAAAGCTGTCAGAAAGACATTTAGGTGTCCATTTTGTATTTAAATTTTAGCAGATTTGAGTGACTGAAAACAGAGGCGGCTCTCAAAAACTTGAGTCGTGCTTTCACAAACTTGGAACTGGTCTGCTGAAAGCACACTTGCTTGGATTAAGATACAGGAAACATGAAGATCACTGACCATTGATAAGACCAGAAAGCACAACACGCATCTGACAGTACCAGAACTGTACTTAGGAACATTGTAGGTCATAAAGAGACACATTTCAACTCTAAGGGTTTGGGGCTTTTCTTGTGGTGTTGGTGGTAGTCTGGGTTTTCCCTTTTTTATCTGGCAGACAGCAGTAAGTTTAAAACAAAGTAATCAAATGGGTAGGCAAGAAATAAACCACATCCTTTTTTCTTCTTCCCAGACTCAAAGAAAAGTGCAGCTAAAGAGAAGGATGGGTTAGGAACAGAACTGCTCAGTTCTGTCTGTGAGACACCAGGGATAGAATCATAGAACACCTCAAGTTGGAAGGAACCCACAAGAATCATGTAAAACATGACATGGGACGGTAGTCATCAAAAACACCATTCTGTGCAAAACATTGTCCAGGCACATTTAAAAAAAACACCTGGGAAAGATGACTAAAAAGAAAAACCTTAATCCAAACATTAGAGTATTTTCATCAGGTCTGGACATCATAAGGAGAAATAAAACAGCCATGGAGAGATACTCAAAGGCAAAAGGTCATATTCTGGCAAGGAGTGACAGTGCTCTGAGTGCTGCCACTGGCCCCTCTCATGTGGCATGCAACATCTGAAGGACTCACACAGTCTGTGGCAGGCGACACACTCATGGCACTACCCTGCACAGGGGTGAAAAGCTAAGGGCATGAACAGAAAGGAGCAATGTTATGACAATTATCACCCTGTCTATATGCAAACTTATTCTGTATTTCTCCTAGGTACAGAGAACTCCAAGTATACTCATTTATTGTTATTGTTGAAACTGACAATGTCTCACTAAATAAAATCTGACCATGAGTGGAAGAAAACAAGCTTAAAATGTTTCCCTCTGTAAAGCTTTTTTTAGATAACTACTGATGATGATTGAAACAATCATAATTTATAGTGTAAGGAAAAAAAAAAAAAANAGAATGAATAGAACACACATGAGGTTCTCTGAATAAGGTGTGCAGTAAGGCACACAGAGGTATTTTCAATTTGAGTAAGAATGAAGTACTCTTCCCTGAGACTGTATGACCTAACACAACATAGTGATTTTATTAATCACTCCATCAACATAACTGACACAAACAGAACTACCAGAATTCAATGCACACTCTTTCAAAATTTACATTTGTCTTAGTTAGAAAGTGACAAAGTAATCTTAATTTCAAAATCAAGGACTGGAAGGTTGCCTAACAGTTTGTAAAGTCAGATGAAAATACATTCCAGAAATTACATTTTTGTATTTTAAAGAAACACATTTCATATATTGAACAAAATCACATGCCAGAGATTACAAGTACACATGAGAAATTACTCTTGCTTCCAAATCACTATTGCTCTCACCAAACTTTCTTCATTTACACCAGCATTATCAGGTTAGACAGCAGGCATTTTTCACTCCAAGGCTGTTGATTTATGAGGAAAAGTTGGACTCCTGACATGGTTTCTGCTCCACTAGCCACATCTTCCTTCCATACATGAGCTGGTAACCTAGGGAGGATGTCAGACCTCACTTGAAACAGTACTGGGATCTTTACAACACACATCCCACCTGATGCTTACATACAATGAAGTTCAGGAACTTCTTCAAACATTGACAGGTGACAGCACCACCTGACTTCAATCCACTTGTTGGTTTTTTTTCTGTGTCAATGCAATAAAATGTTGTTTTAACCTGCTTTCAGTCATGCTAAATTATACCAAATAAAGGAAGAGGCAGCCTGACACCCACAAAGCAGAACAAGAAACAGGGAAGAAAAAATGCTGTAAGAAGAAAAATGAGGCAGGACTGAAATGAAGAAGGAGGCCAGGAAGTATGGGAAGGATCACGGTGGGTGGAATGGGGAAAGTAGAAAAACAAGAACAGATACTGCAAGGCATGAAAAGGGCTCAGATAATGTGGTCCAGATAGACTAAATTGATGCTAGGAGAGAGAGACATCATAGTTTATCACTTCTAATACTGAACCATATACTGGAGGAGAGCTCTTTGCCTTTTTATTTTAAGGGGGCCAAATTAGGAAAGCAAGTGAGTTAAGAGTAGGTGGGTTGCAAGGATAAAACAGATGGGACGTGGACAAACCTAGTACAGAAGTGGGAAGGGGAAAATGACACCCTGTGCAGCACAGAGAGATGAAGGAGGGAGACATTTGGTGCAATATGAGGCAGGATACATGGTTGTGATACTGTAAGTCTCATGATGTCACAGAAGATGCTGGTGTTGAAATCTTGCTGTCCTCCAGCATGTTTGCAATATACTGAGCACTGTTCTAGACCCTGAAGATGCTGAAGACTCAGGAAGTTGAAATCATAACTAATAATAAATTAATAAATAATTTCCTATCAGGAAATGGAAGCTTTCCTTCCCACCCTAGGTTTCCACTCAACCTCTCAGTTCATAAGAGAGATTATAAGCTTACTAATAGCAGATCATATGACAGCCAGAAGAATGAATAGAGCATGTCATCCGCTGCAAGAACTTGCTATTTTGAGCAACTATTTCTGGAGGCAGGACATTTTGACAAAAGGATTCTTAACTGCCTGCTGAGAGCAGGTAATGCTGAAGACTTACAGCTCCATAGTCAAGTTCCATGTTTCACAGGAACCATCCTTTGGCTTGGGATAGACATCTCTGCATGACCCAGAGTCAATGAAACCACACATCCTGAATGTTTCAGTGCTCCTCAGTTGTCAGCACACAGCTGCAAAACCTATCCACAGAGCACTGTGCAGGCACTAGACACTGCTAATGACTGATGTGAGGGAGGACAAACAGCACACAACAGCTATCACAGACTCTGCACGCTCCACTAACAGCTAACAGGGGTTGAAATGGTGGGATTTCATGTCAGTGGTCAGCGTATAATATATAGTGTGCACTTCTTAATAATAATAATAATTTAAGAATGCTAAAAATTTGATAAGGTCTGAAGAAAATGCATAGGCAAATTTTACAAAAATGTCAAGAGGCAGCCTCTGCAGATTTCATTTTCTGAGATTATGATACACCATTAAGAGATGCATTATGATATTGCCTTTAATCATATGATCACACAGTTCTCAGCACATATTTAAAACATACTAAAAATAGGTGCAAAAAATTGTATTAAAAAAAAAAAAAAAGAGAGCCAAGATAATCAGACAGAATTCTGGATTATTGTTTCAGAAGTCAGTTATTCTTCTATCCCTGTGTATCAAAAGCTCTGGCTACCTTTTCAAGTCAGAATCTCACTAGGGAAAAATAAAAGTAATTTTAAAAATCTAAATTTTTCTTCACAGTTGAGCACTTGTTAACATTAAATTTCAATGCCACCTTTAATTGAAGAGCAAACTTGAGGAATCACTTTTTTCTTCTTTTTGTCCTGTGTGTTCTGCCATTTTTTAAGTCAGAGATGTAATTGATAAGTAAATTTTTCCTGAATATCACTTCAACCATTGCAAAAAAGTAAATATTTTAAGAACAGTACATAATAATTTGGTAAGAATATCTAAGTAGTATTTAAAGAAGAATTGTCATTGAAAAGAATACAATATTTATCAATTATAACTTTTATAGTATGTGCTGCAATTTTTAGGTCAAAGTCAAAGAATAAATGAAATACTGATAATATTTGAAGCTAAGCATACATTTAGGTGAAGAAAACACACATATTAGGTGAAGAAATATAAAGTACATATTAAAATTCATTCTACCGATTGCAATTTTTATCTTTAATTAAAATCTGAGCACTATCCTCTAAGAGATTCCTTGAAATAGATAGACTGATTAGCCCAAAATAAAGGTGTTAACCCAGACTGTGTTTCACTACCAGAATAGCTACTGATTTGATCACTGTTGCTCTAGATTATACATGCCTGTATATTTTTTGAAAATTAATACACCAGACCAAATTCGCATATAGCTTAGTAATGAGCATTTCCAAATATTTGTTTGAATTGGAAAACATGCGTGATTCACTTTGATCACTCCAACAATATTTATTTCCCTGCCTTGAAAATAATGTTTAAGAAAAAAATTCTTAGACGAATATTTTGTATTTAGAAATCAGTTGACACCATACTTCAGTACAATTATTTATTACAGCTTAATCAATGACAATGCTGCAACTTCAGAGTTTCAGTTCATATGAAATGCAGAGAGACGGCTGTCCTTTAAATATTGTAATGAGTGAGATTAGCATTGTAAAAGAGTCTGAAGATGCAATGCACTGTGAGAGTGTGCATATATAACAAGAGCAAGAATGTTTGTGAGCAACAGAAACTTAGACTTTTCTAGACTGGCCCTGAGAGGTTAAACTCTACATGTCAGTTACAACATCACATAGATGGTAGTAAAACAAAGCCATTTTACACTATCAGAGAGCTTAGAGATAACAAGCTGGCCCTCATCAACAGATTTCTAAAATGAACAGGCATGATTACTTGTTCCCTCAACCTTTAGTTAAAGGATCACCGTTTCAAAGCCAAGTCACCTTCTCAACTCTGTTTTCGAGACTGCTATCATTTGAACTTCCATCTCAGCAGGCACTGGCAGCAAACTACAGTGCTTAAGAAAATTTTCAAATATATAAAAGCAGGTCCTTAATACTTCATTGTTTGCCATAAACCTTTCATGTAGTAGGCTGCAAAAGATAAGGCAACACGAAGGGCAAAGGGTCCTTTTGATATCCAACCTGTTATCAGTAGCAGGGGTGGTGCCCCTGAAAACAAATTTGAGCAACTTTGACTAGAGAGAGAATATGTGAGACCAACAACTCTGCAGACCCCAAGATCCATGAAGAAGAGGAAGGAGATGCTTCTAGCACCAGAACAGAGATTCTTCTGCAGCACATGGTGCAAACTAGTGAAGCAGCTGTGCCCCTGCAGCCCATGGAGGTCCATGGGGCAGCAGAGCAGGGCAGTCCCTGGAGTGGAGCAGTCCCTGGAGGACCCCAGCAGTGCCCAAAGGAGGCTGTCGCTCTGTGGAAACCCTCACTGGAGCAGGCTCTTGGCAGGACTTGTGGACCCATGGAGAGAGGAGCCCACAACAGAGCAGGCTTGCTGCAAAGGCTTGTGGCTCCACGGGACATCCCCACTGGAGCAGGGGATCCTGAGGTTCTGAAGGACTGTGCCCCACAGAAGGGACCCACTGGCACAGCTTGTGAAGAACAACAGCCATGGGAAGGACTCACACTGTAGAAGTTGGTGGAGAACTGCCTCCCATGGGTGGGACCCCACGCTGGAGCAGGGGAAGAATGTGAGGAGTCCTCTCCCTGAGATGAAGGAGCAGCACAGACAACATGCTATGAAGTGAATGCAGCCACCTTTCCTGCTGCGTCACAACAGGGAGAGAGGAAGTAGAGAATTTGTGAGTCTTGGAAGAAGGAAGAGGTGGGGGAAAAGTGTTATGATTTGCTTTTTATTTTTCATTATCCTACTCTGATTTGATTGGTAAGAAATTGAACTAATTTCCCCAAGTCAGTCTGTTATGCTCATGACAGCAACTGGTGAGTGATCTCCTCCTGTCCTGATCTCAACTGACAAACCTTTCGTTATATTTTCTCTCCCCTGTCCAAGGAAGGAGGGAGAGTGATAGAGATACTTTGGTGGGCAACTGGCATCCACCTATTATCATCACTTATCAGTGTTCCTTAAAGGAAGAATAATTTGTACATGAGCAAACAATTCTATAAAGATCTATTTTAAAGATACTGAGATACCATCTATCACGGATATAATTACCCATTTGTTATTACATTTAACATAATATTTAATCCCTTCATATAGAAACAGAAGTCAGATAAGCATGTATGCTTCAAAATTTTATTGGGACATAGTATAGAAGAAAAAAGGAAGAAATTAAAAAGTAGTCAGGAAACTGTTTTCTACCACATTTCTTCTTTTTATGACAGTATTTACAAATGCTAATATAGGTGAGCAATGGGAAGTTAAAAAAAAAAATCAAAACTGGAAAAGATCCCTGATTGAGGTGTTTGCCAAATATAAGATGCAATCTAAGTTCTACAAATGCCAAACATCATCTTCTGATTAATTTCTATTTGTATAATAAGAGAAATAAAACTAAGACAAGGAAAAGAAAATAAACCATATGTGATTACAGGAATAATAGCGAGCAGCACATTTTCAATGAAGTAATAATATTTTTTATTACTGGTAGTCTGGATGAAAAACTGAGGCAAGACAGCAAGGCTACTATGCTAATGTTTTTGCCAATGAAAACAAAACCATAATGGTGACTACCAATAATTTCGTTTAATCACTTGTCAGGCTTCATGGACTGTTACTCTAGCAATTGCAATAGAGACCCCATAAGCTAAGACTTTCAAAGCTGTCAGAAAGACATTTAGGTGTCCATTTTGTATTTAAATTTTAGCAGATTTGAGTGACTGAAAACAGAGGCGGCTCTCAAAAACTTGAGTCGTGCTTTCACAAACTTGGAACTGGTCTGCTGAAAGCACACTTGCTTGGATTAAGATACAGGAAACATGAAGATCACTGACCATTGATAAGACCAGAAAGCACAACACGCATCTGACAGTACCAGAACTGTACTTAGGAACATTGTAGGTCATAAAGAGACACATTTCAACTCTAAGGGTTTGGGGCTTTTCTTGTGGTATTGGTGGTAGTCTGGGTTTTCCCTTTTTTATCTGGCAGACAGCAGTAAGTTTAAAACAAAGTAATCAAATGGGTAGGCAAGAAATAAACCACATCCTTTTTTCTTCTTCCCAGACTCAAAGAAAAGTGCAGCTAAAGAGAAGGATGGGTTAGGAACAGAACTGCTCAGTTCTGTCTGTGAGACACCAGGGATAGAATCATAGAACACCTCAAGTTGGAAGGAACCCACAAGAATCATGTAAAACATGACATGGGACGGTAGTCATCAAAAACACCATTCTGTGCAAAACATTGTCTAGGCACATTTAAAAAAAACACCTGGGAAAGATGACTAAAAAGAAAAACCTTAATCCAAACATTAGAGTATTTTCATCAGGTCTGGACATCATAAGGAGAAATAAAACAGCCATGGAGAGATACTCAAAGGCAAAAGGTCATATTCTGGCAAGGAGTGACAGTGCTCTGAGTGCTGCCACTGGCCCCTCTCATGTGGCATGCAACATCTGAAGGACTCACACAGTCTGTGGCAGGCGACACACTCATGGCACTACCCTGCACAGGGGTGAAAAGCTAAGGGCATGAACAGAAAGGAGCAATGTTATGACAATTATCACCCTGTCTATATGCAAACTTATTCTGTATTTCTCCTAGGTACAGAGAACTCCAAGTATACTCATTTATTGTTATTGTTGAAACTGACAATGTCTCACTAAATAAAATCTGACCATGAGTGGAAGAAAACAAGCTTAAAATGTTTCCCTCTGTAAAGCTTTTTTTAGATAACTACTGATGATGATTGAAACAATCATAATTTATAGTGTAAGGAAAAAAAAAAAAAAAGAAAAAAGTTAAGCTTGATCTTTTTACCATAATCTTGCTTTCCCTAACAAAGCAACTTGGTGTTGTAGCAACAGTAGTCTTTATAAAGGATCTACCAGAGACTTTAGCTAATATTTTAATAAGAACTTTTGCTTCATAAAGAGGCTTTTGTCCTGGAGCCTGAATCTACTTTTTCGGTAACAGAGATGATTAATGTAGCTAATCTTTGAACCACTTCAGTGAAAAGGAAATTAAATAAGATCAGTCCTGAAAGGGGAAGCATCAAGGGTTAAGGACTCAGATCCAGTTTCTACTCCTTGATGTCATGACTCTGGGTGGATGACTAAGATTATTTCTACCTAACTCTATACCACAGTAAACAAATTCCCAGTAGAGACGTTTATGCACCTTATAACTCTATCACAGAAAATTAGTAGAGTGGTCCAAAGAGCTGAGTCCAGGTACATTTCTTTAGGGAACTCTTCTATTTTACATAGAAGGATCTCAGGCATCTTCTTTCTCCGTCTTGTTCTTGGTCTAAGAGTTGGATAGTTCCCATTGGTCCTGGACTGCTGGCATTCTGAAAAGGGCTGAGAAATGAAGGCTTCAGCCCCTACCTTCTCACGAGGGCAAAGGAATAGATGGTTATTTCTTGTGTGCACAACCTAACAAGTCACTCACTATGTGAAAACTGGGCAGTGCTACAGCTACCACTACTCCTTCTCCAGACACACCCCGACAGAAAGGACCAAGCCTCATCTTGGGGATGACAGAGCAACCTCAGTTCCTGCCTCAAGAACAGGTTGCAAATGTGGATCTTAATTCCATGTAGACATCTAACGTGTGCAGAGGGTGGTCACTTAAACCCAGCCAGGAAGGGCAATGAGAAGCCTTCCACACGCTCAAAATGACCCAGGAGTACTTCTGCCTGCTCTGCATGCCCTGTTCACAGTGGACAAACCAGGCAAGCAGCCCATGTTAGGACCTAAGGCACATCCAAGGAACTGGTTTAAATAGCTTCTGCTATACTGACTATTTCTTAGTTGACCAAGTAGCTAAAGAAGGAAAGTATCTAATCTTTACCTCTGAGTAGCAGCTAAAATAAGTAAGGACAAGTACAGGAATGAGAATTAGGGGGAAATGAACTAGCCTAGATGCATCAGTATGATACCAGTAAGGCTTCAAGGGAGTTTAGTACATACTTAAATTTTGATCAAATTTTTTTTGAGGTGATTGATAAGCTCCAGGAAATAAACACTAATATGGTTAAAAGAGTACTGAAATCAAGTTGGGAAAAAGCAACATTAAAAGCTCGTATCAGCCAGAATTAACCCCCCACAAAATCAAAATAACATTAATTATTATACATTCAACAACTACAAAGCATGTACTGCTTGACAAAAAGTGAAAGGAAAAATGGAAAAGGACATTTATTTAGTGTTTTTTTGTAAACTGAGTGAAAAAGCAAAAAAGAGCAGGTTTCATAAGTAGATGAAACCTGCAAACTATTACCTTGTCTTAGCCAAATGCTCCCTCACTGTGGGTAGTCTTAAAAATACTATAGTTGTCCAACTGTAATGCATTTGTTCCTCTATCATGTGTCTTGTTAGTGTGGGCTTTAAAAATCAAAATTTATACAATTTTTGAATAAAAGTGACTAATTGACCTTATACAGGGTGCCTAATTTATGTTGATTGCTTTATTGTAAAATCTGAGCTGAAGCTTAAACTTTAGTAGACTTTCTAAATATATTCAATATAACCCAGGGATTTTATCACAACTTTTATTCTACTGGGCTAAGTACTTTTAAGGTTTTTTTTTACAAAATGAAGTTTAAATGTGTGTGTTTGCTGATAGGGCACATAAGCTACAAGTATGGGGTTTTTTTACCCCCACTGCTCAAATGCCTGAATTGATTTCTCTGTTAGGTGAATAAGCCATGAGGGATTGGAATGAACAGAAATGCAGGGTATTTCTCCACAAAAGGAAAATAATTTCTACTGGTCAGCAATACTGGTTACTAGCATAACAAAGCCAACTCTGTGGGCATGCAACAACTTGTCCATCCCTCTACCAACAAACCTCTCCTTACCCTGAACTGCAGTTCTAATGCCTCTAAAGAATGTCGAGATTCCTGGCCAGCAAGATCCAACGCACCTCCACCTGCCTTTGCTCCTGGAGATTATACCACCTCTGAAGAGCAGTTCTATATTTCTGTGTTCCTAGAATGGTCCTGAGTCTTGGCCCTTTCACTCATCACCCAGGTTTTATTCATCTACTCTCCTTCCTTTTTCTCCCAAATTAGTAGTCCAATACTGATAATAGTAGAAAGTGGCTGAATGAAGGACCTTTCCCATTTAATTAAATGGCATAAATATGGAACATTTATCATTTACTCAACTCGTAGGTCTGCTAAAGATAAATTCACCTGTGACATATGCAAGATAAATTCATATCTCTTTCTAATAGACTTCCATTAGTATCAGACTTATCATCCATTCCCCTAAAGTCTTGAGTACCACCCATGCAGCGCAGGAGATTATGATTCTATTCAATTCAACAGGAATCTATTTTAAAAACTCACAGCACACACATTCAGAGCTGTGACTTCATTCAGGCATATTTTCTTAAGCTGCTGTCTCCTTTGTTGCAACACTGAGCTGAAAATGGATATGTAATCCACTGCTTATAGGCATTCTCTATTCAACATATTAAGACTCTGCCTCTGCCTAAGCTTCATCTACTTTTCCCCAGAAGTCAAATTTCCCAGCTCAAGTGGTAAAGTTATGTGAGTTTTTCTTTTAAAGTCCCCAATTTTATGACACATTCAGTGTCATCATGCATGCACTGCAGTACACCTGCAGTACCTGACACATCACTGCTTAAGGCATTAATTCAATGTCAAATATGACATTTTCACACATTACTGAGACAAACACATTTTTTTTCCTATTAGATAAACACATAGACATACATTTCCTGTATATATATATACATACATTGAATAAATGTTTCAAACTGACTTGCTTCCTTCAACCTCTTTATCTCATCTGAACCATGAATCCCTGAAAAACTGTTGTCCTTCTTAGTTTCAGACCAGTATAAAGAGGCTAGTCTAGGGGAAAGAAACCCCTCTGTGAACAAATTCTCCAAATTAAAAACTAGTTCCATCGACGATGTTTTTTTTGTTTTCCTTTTCTCTTCCCTCTATCTCTTCCCATTTCTCCACTCCTACATCTCATGCTAGCTGTTACTACAGCAGAGAGCAGTTCTTATTTTCCTACCTGCACTTCTTGAACTCAATAAGCCTTACTATCATTTCATTCACTTATTATCAAGGGATTTTCTTTCACTAAAGGTGCATTTCTTCAAGATGTGCAGTATTTGGGGAAAACAGCTCTGTCTCTTTTTCTCCTGTCATGCTGCAACAGAACTGATATGCCCTCACATTTTTAACCAATGTTATCTATGGGAATAAGGAAGATAGTCCAGTGAAATACAGGCAGATTTATTTGGCTACACACTGCCTTGTCACCAAACAGATCACTGTTGCAAGAAAATTCATGCAGACTCAGTAAGCTATGAAAGAATCAGAAAGAGTGATTCCATCCAGAAATATTTCATGTCTATTAGTAGCTATGTAGTAAGCAATCCTTGCTGTTTATATAGCTTAGCTTATAGCTCATGGCAGCAACAGAAGGCAAGCTAATATTGAAAATACCAACTAAGAAGTGGCTCCATGTAACTTTTCTTCCTTCCAAAACATTTCAAGGAAGTAAAACAAGTAGGACTTGAGTAGTGAAAAGATATGAACAGTGACAAAAAGAAGGTATGAAAAAAAACACAGTCACGTACTCCATTAGTGCATGTTAGCTCTTGGAAAATAGACTCAGAGACCATTATGAGGGGATGAACTTTATTTTGTGTTTACAGCTTTCCTGTTTACAATTACATAAATCTTATTGCATTAATAAACCTCAAGAAATAGTGAAATAGCCACTTTTTTGTTTTGTTTTTTTTTTTTCCTTGATGTATCCTGCAGATCCATAAGGAGACGATACAACTTTTAAAAATCTGATTATGGCAGAGCATGTACATGTCAAGAAGATGGGGTCTGACTCCTTTCAGTGGTGCCCAGTGATAGGACAAGGGGCAACAGGAACAAACTGAAATACACAAAGTTCCACCTGAACATGAAGAAAAACGTCTTTACTTTGAGGGTGTCAGAGCACTGGAACAGGCAGCCCAGAGAGGTTATGAAAGCCCGCCTGAATATGATCCTGTGCAAGCTGCTCTAGATGAGGCTGCTTTAGCACGATGGTTGGACTATGCAGATGGAGAGATCATCTCCAGAGATCCCTTCAACCCCAACAATTCAGTGATTCTGTGAAATATAAAAGGGGGTAAAGAGAAAGGGAAAAAGAAGAAAAGATATTATCCATATTTTAGCTTAATTTATATTCAGCACCATGTATACATCAGATGTGCATGGGAGCAGAAAAAGCACAAGTATTCTGTGTATTTTAGACACCTAATTTATGACTCAATATTCTATACCAACTTCATGGAGATACTTGTTCTTTCAGAGTGTGATTTAAAGCACCTAAGTTTCTAAATGGTAACAAAGAGTAGTGAATTCCCACCCTAGAGGCCTACCTCCATCATCCCAAAAGGCAGCCTAGGCACTGAGGTAGGTACCTGGAGGGAATTCCTCTCAGGTGCTTGCATGCATGAGAGAGTATGGCAGCAAATAAAGCAATCAGTACAGAAAATGACACAGATCTCCAAAAAGGTGCGCTAGAAATACCTACTTTAAGATTATACTAGCTGACTAGTGAAAGTCTGTGATGACCCACCCTTAAGAGGAAGGAAGCACCTTGTATTACTTTTGCAAGCATAGGGAGACTGTAATGTAGACACAAGAAGAAAGGTTTTAGAAAATATCGGTATGATATTTTTTAAGTTATGAGTACTCTCTCGTCAGAAAGACTCCACAGGTGCATCTTTCTACCTATCATTTTGAAAATGCTTCCCTTTCCAAGGCAAACTTCCTTACAGTTGCAGTAAGGAAGTTGCACTTACTCTGTATCCAGCAAAACCACTACAGTGTAAAACATTCTTCTTCAAGAAATTAGTAAGCTAATAATGTCCATGCAAATGCAGGAACATTAACCAAAAGAAGGAATTTTCTAACATGTTTTTAATCAAAAATAAGGATGGTCTAACATTCCTAAAACATTAATGTGGAGACAAAGAATGGAACAAAAATCTAGGGTAAAGCTATGTACAACTATGCACAAGATGTACAAATCAGAAATATTTATGTAAATTTAGAAACAAATTTTCAGCTCACCATCAGCTCCTGTTGAGACAATTATTGATCAATATTCTGTCGAGTATAACAAAATTCTAGAGATTTATTTTCTTTATCCCTCACTTTAACCTAAGACCTGCTGAATTTCAATTGAAGTAAATACATGATCTTTACCTTTTCGACCTTTAGAAAAAAATTCACTAAGCACATTTTATCTCTATCAAATTTGATGTTCTAAAGAGATTTCAGTGGCTGTGTTTGTATAGTGACCTTATATAAGTCCTAGGATGGCTATGATGTACAGGTTCCTCATAAATGTAATCTGACACTTTATATGGAAACACTCCTGGAAGATTAATCATTCCTTCGCTCAGCAAACACGTCTCAGCACACCCCTTAACAAATTTCACATCTTCATGATAAATGGGATAAAAACTCTAAGTTAAAACACTCCACTAAAGAAGACCAAAGACAATCCAGTGCAAGAGTCTCAGGTCTCTGCATGAGCACAAACTTTCTCCTTCACCTTCCTGCTGAATTACAAAATGGAAGTAATTCACTGTGAAATGATTTTACAGTGTAAAAATGCAATTCAGTGGCTATCGTTGCACTGAGGTATGAAGGGTGCCAGCATGGCTCGGTCCCATGGATGCCTCACAGCTTACATGGAGGACTTTGAGTATGTACTCACCACAGGACACTACCAACACTGGGAAACATCTATGAGACTAGAAAAAAATCTTGTCCTAAATTGTGCAGGTGGGCCTAGGGTGCAGACATTAGAATCATGTTGTCATGAAATCCATAACACAAAAATATGAGGCTGGCATCTTGTTATGAAACATACCTTCCAAACTGCCTCAGAGAGGGCTGTTCTAAAGCACTCCTCTGGCACCTGTTGGTATCACCAGCTTTCACTCTTTAACATATCTCATACTACTATTAAAAAAAACATTAAGTTTTTAAAGTTTACTACTGATGCACAGCTTCATGCCATTCCCTTGGGTCCTATCACTGTCTTCACAGGGAAGAGATCAGTGCCTGCTCCTCCTCTTCCCCTCACAAAGAGTTGTAGCCTGCTATGAAGTCTCTTCTCAATTTCCTCCAGGCAGAACAACCAAGTGACCTCAACCACTTCTCATATGGCTTCACCTCAAAGCCCTTCACCATCTTTGCTGCCCTCCTTTGGATGCTCTCAAATTGCTTTATATTCTTCTTATACTGTGGTGCCAAAAATACAATATTCAAGGTGAGGCCACCCCAGTGCAGAGCAGAGTGGGACAATCTGCTCCCTGGACAGGTTGGCAGTGCCTGATGCATCCAAGGGCACAGCTGTCCCTCCTGGCTGCCAGGGCACTGCTGGCTCATGTTCAACCTGCCACTGACCAGGACTCCAGGTCCCTTTCTGTGGGGCTGCTCTTCAATGTCTCATTCCCCACGCTGCACATATAGCCAGGGTTGCCCCCTCCCAGGTTCAGAATCTGGCACTTACACGTGCTAAACTTCATATGGTTGGTGAGTGCCTAGCCCTGTAATTTGTCAAGGTCTCTCTACAGGGTCTCTCTGCTTTCAAGGGAGTCAACAGCTTCACCCCATTTAGCACCATTGTGCTCATGCTGAACATCAAAGCAGCTGGAACCTTTACCACAGCCATTTTCCAGAGAGCTCAAAATGAAAGGTAACAGTGAACTTACTGCAAGTCTAGGTTTTCTAATTCATATAAAAACGTACTAGCAGTTTGTCAAAAGTCGGCTATTTTTAAATGGCATAAGCATAAAAGGAAATGTCAAATATTAACTATTCAATCCATTCATCACTGTAGCTTTGTGTCTTGTCTGAAATTAGTAAGGAAACTGTCTGGAATAGATGCTGCAGTTTCAAGATGAGTAATTTTCACCTCCCAAAAAAAGTAAGGGCTTGTGCTTACCAAGAAATCTAATTAGTCACCTCAAGCAGTGCAGAATTTCCAATTTACTCAAATTTGGAAAAGCAAACAGAAAACAAAAGAGAAACTTACATTAACATATAGGCATGTGTTTACATTCCCTAGGCCAGTCTGGGTTGCCCACCAGGCAGCTCTGAGCCAAGAGAAGCAAGTGCTTACAGATTTACAATGCAGCTCATTACAACAGTAAAATGCCAAGAGGTGGTTCTTGAGAATATGTTTTTGGGCATGCCATGGTCAATAAACATTGCTGTTCACTGCAAATGGTTTTCTCCAGCTGAGTTTACATTAGTTCTTAACAGCATTATGATGGCACTGTGCCTCTTCTATGTTCCAATTCACTCAAATTCTCAGCAGAAGTGACAGCAGTCTAAGCATCATTACAGCATCTGATTAACTTTGGAAGAATTTGCTGGTCACTCCTTTTTTTTAATCCTGATGGGATTAAAAAGAGTCCAAGGAGATACCACTAAATTCTTACAAGTTGGAAATATCTCCTGCACACCAAGGTTCCTTGGAATGCTCTTGGGCTGATGGGGTTCTAAATACCTGGCCTTCTAGTGAAGACACTCAGCATTGAACTGAAAGACTCAGATACTGTGCATTTGGACAGTGCCTGTTGTATACGCCTTGTTAAAAAGGGCAGCTAATAATTGCTGGAAGTTCAAAACCTCCTTACAGACACTGAACTCTGAAAAAGCAACTGAATAGTTGCAGATCTGTCACTATTTCATTCCTGGCTTTATACCTAAGTTATTTAACTGAAACCATGAGAGCTCCAGCATCCCCCATTGGTGAAATGAAGAGGAGGGTTACACTCATAATTTCTATTATCATCAGTGGTAGTTACATATATGTGCTGGGCAGAGAAGAGCAGCTGTCCTCTAATAAAGTGCTAGTCATGACAAATGTAATACTGACATGGGACCCACATAATTGTCTTTATAAGCACACTGCAAAACAAGAATGATTGCAAATGCCAGGAAGCAGGGAAAAAAAACCCCAGCATTCTCCCATGCTTTTTTAATTTCAATTCGCAAAGAACAGCACATTTCTGCAACAAATAGAGCTTACGAAACCAGCTGCCTTTTGTTATTATCCTTATGCCTATCTGTGATATTATACAACAGATACCACTTTATCAGTGTCCATAAATAACTTTTATTATGCATCTGAAACAGCACAGTTTAGCACAATGTAGAACAGACATTTCTTCCAATAACTTTACTTCTGTACCTGCCACTATGACCCCACCACTGGTTTATGGCTTTCATTTACAGAAAAGAAAGAAAAGTAAAAAATATTGTACCAGACAGTAGGCCCTCTAAATAGACTGAGAGGGTGCCAGGACTAGAAATAGGCATTATTAAGAATATTGCTGAATACTGTATGCAACTCCAGTTTGTTGTGAGTTTCCTTCTAGAAGTACCAAATTTACTGCCAGCTCCACGCTGAGGAAAGCCCATCTGATAAAATCCAAGACAGTGAACTCTGTTTTCAGGATACACTGAAGCCCATATCTTATGTTAACACAACCAGTGCCATCATCTGGCTTGTTACCAAGCTGCTGTCACTGCCTGCGACTGCTGCAAGTGTCAAAGAAAATAAAAGCTAAGTGGCCTCAAGGGCAAGAAATGGGCGTGGACAATAACTTAAAAGTAAATTAAAAAGAAAAGACAGGGAAAAGATAAAATGAACTTTATAACTTATGACAAAAAAAATCTAAATTATATTTTTTTCAGTCAACCCTCTTATTGTTTTGCATTCCTTTAGCCTCTAATGTTTTCATTTGTTTTAATGCTATTTGCTCTGCCAATTTGAACAGTGATGTAATGACATATGACTCCCTCATATTCAGTAGTACTCACAGCACCTTTGTCACTGGTGGCTCAAGAGCACAATGAACAGTATCTTGAGTTCAATGTATTTGTGGCTTTGTGAAGGCAGTAATGACACACAATGGGTTTTTTTCTCCTTTTGTTTCTGTGCTCTGTAATAGAATACCCTGCCACAAAGACTGTGACCAGAGTATAATGAAAAATGCTAAGTCATTGTTGGTCATGGCAAAAATTTGCAAACTTTACATTTTGTTTAATTATTGAAGAATGGCTTTTCAAAAAGACATGCATTGTTCTAAAGAGGCATCACAGCATCTATCTTCCTCTCCTCACAAAAGCTTTTTATCTTCAAACAAGAAGAATATACTTGTTGAGGACCAATTACTAGTCTGTCTATGAAGACATTTAAAGGAATTTTAATTAATAAATTGACCCATACGAGTCACCTGGAGAGGAATGACATCATTTCCTAAGACAGTTATGCTTTCTTACACAAATATTAGTCAGTACCTTAGATTCAAGACCCTCTAGCTCTTAATACTATCTTGTCCTTGTACACCAATTTAATTCACTACTGCAGCATCACACAGAGTGACATAAATGCTACTCAAGGTGAACAGGGGCAGCCCTCTGACCCTTGTTCTAGGCCTCTAGCACGACTTCCATTCATCCAGAATAAATGTTATGTATCACTCAATTATGTTCTGCTTGAATTCTAAGAAAAGAGTTTGACAGTCTATCTAATCTTCTTTAGTACAAAGATACCATCAAAAATAAGGAGGCTTAACTGTATAATGAGGTTAATAAAGGTGAATGCAGAAGAGAGGCCTACACAGTCGATGAAAAGATGCAGCCACTTGCAGAAGGTGGTTCAGAGTCTATTCATTACATGCTTGAATGAGATAGCATGAGTCTCTCTCCCACTATCTGCAAATGGTCCTGCATTTTTTGCCTTCTGAAAGGTGATGTAATGTATAGACATGACAGTCATCATCATTTCAACATACCTCTTAAGAAATTATAGAATTAACCTCCCATTCTGCTTTCTGTACAAAACCCCGCTAATGAGAATTCCTTCGTAAGAAAATAAGGGTGAGGAGGAAACCAGAACTCAATCTGTTATGGTATGAATATAGAATATGACAGACTTTTCTTATTCCTGTTCACACAACTGGTAACTTGCCAGTTACATGTAACTGGTGACTTGCCACTAGAGATACTGCCTAACATTTCAAACACAAAGGAAAAAAAAAAAAAGGAAGAACACCCCCACACACATTGCCACCCCAAACTCTAATATTAGAAAGCTATTTCTTCAAACAGCATAAGAAAATACGAGATTCATTTATGTCAAATAAATGGAGTTTTTTACTGTTTTCATCAATCAATATAATAATCAGCATTTCCTATGTACTTTACATCATTATGTAGGCAGCAGAGAGGCAAGTTGTATATAAAGATTCACCTTAATCCAAGCATCAAGTGAGAGATATTTTCAAGGTATTCAGATATATGTAAACATTTAAGTGGGAATCAGCACATCTCTAAACTGATAAACATTTCTCATAAGTTATGTATGAACTAAAATCAAGTTTTTATTAAAAATGCATAAGTATGATCTGTGGTGAATAGAACCATTAGCTATGCATGTTTACTCTTTAGTGAACACAGAAATCAGTAATTTTTCTTCTAAATGTCATTTCCATCAGAGGGTTATAAACGATAAAATGCTTAAACGATTCTCAGATGCCATCCAGCTGGTACATGTACAACAGGGGAGAGGACATAAAATAATGAACTGTGAAATGTTTATTTGCCACAGGGGCAAGAAAATGCCATTTCAACTATTGCACCCATTCTACTTTACAAGTCAGGTAGCTCTGAATAGTCCCTCACTTTCACTCACCGTGATAAAATAAATAAATTAAGACTAATCTGGATGATAACAAACTATCTGATTCTTTAAAGTTATTACATTTTCAGCACACTCTTTTTGATCACACATTTTTTACAATGCTCCCTGTCTTCTTCACTCCTTTTGGAAGCTATATAAAAATCATCCAAACCCTAAAGTGAGCATAAATTAGTTTATCCATGTGATTTTGAGCATCATATTTTAGGGGATCATAAGGGAGTGTGCACAAAGACTGACATTGTTCTAGTGAAAGCAGGCTCCTTACTTTCTCCTCATAGTCAATGAAGACACAAGTATCTTTCCAAAACAGCATTTCTCAATCTGTAGATTATAGTCGTCCTTAAAATCAAACATTCCTCACTAAAATAACAAATGAAAATGCAAGAGGAAGGAAAATATAAATAATAAGTACTGTGAATGACTAACATCATACAATGAGTCTGTGATTTTTCTTCTCCCTCCCACTCCCAAAAAGCCTACATTAGCTGAAAAACCACTTTACTTAAGGCACAAATCTAATGGTCAGTTTAAGCCAAGAAACAACATTAGGCACTCTGACCTATTGATGGACTCCCTCTTCTGATTGCAGGGAAGCCTAGAGAGATTATTCTGATTTAGTCAGATCATCAATAGTCTTGCCCTCATCCAAATCTGAAAATACTCACTATTGTTATTCTCCATAAAATGTCATTTGAATTCAGAATTTTAAATAAAATCTTGTAAAAATTCAAAATTTCTGACATACCTTTTATAAAAGACCACTGGAATCAGCTGTCTCTTTTGGCATTTTACACCTGGGATAATCTCTTGAGCTCAGTGGGATCATAGGACCAAAACGGAAGTTTGGAATGTATTGGGATACACAAATAGTTCACTGACATCAGCCTCCAGAGCAATCACTGTCTGGATCTCACCAGTCCCTAAGCTCAGGGGAGATTTTAAAACTGTCCTGGTAAATAAAACTGGATGTTGACATCTGTGTCATCAAATGCACCAAAACACTGAGAAGATCCCATATGGATTTAGATTAGTTTCTGGAACAACTCACCAAGTACTTGTTTTCACACCTTACCTGCTGCGCTTTGCACTGTGTATATTCTCATGGCCCAGCCTGGGACAATAGTCACTACCAACTTAAAATATTATGTTTCTGTTTTCAACCACAGAACCTGTTCCTTTCTGTTAACTACAAAATGAGATATTTCCCTTCATTGACTACAGAATGTCTAGAGAAAACCTTTAGTGTATTTTTAAAATGCTTGCTTAGTGCTTTTTGTAAAACAACAGAAAAAAAAAATAACAAAAAAAAACAAAACAAAAATCAAACCGTAGCACCACTCATTGTTCAAGGTGCTAGCTCAAGTCTCTGTCAATACGAAATTAATTCCTACTGTCACAAATTTTCCCAGTGGCTATACAAGAAGAGTAACTTTGCTAGATATTCTAGGTGCCTATAACCAGGTAGTTCATTCAACTTCTCTCAAACCTTTCCTTCCTACCAAACACTACAGTATAGAAATGTTGAGTCTGCTAATTGAATTCTAAAAAGAACTTCAAAACACAGTGAATTAAAACTATTAGTCAACTGGTCTTAAATCTTTTACCCCTGTAACTTAACACAACACACTCCATTTTTATTCATTCACACTTCTCCAAAAACAATACTGCCCTATTCATAGCAAATTTCAAGCCACTAAAATTAAACTATATAATGGACTGTTACCTCAGATATCCATTTTTTGCATTCATCACCCTTTTGAGCTCAAGTTATATGTAAAAAAAAGTTTGGTTATAAATCATGGGTATTTTATCTCAAAAACAGAATAAAAAGCAAAGTGCTTATTTTTCTACCAAGGTCTCACAAACTTAAAAACGTTGCTATGTATTTTCTCAAGACAAGAGATGTTAGCTCTCTGAATTCATAATCAAATTTCTGATTTATC